GAGTAAAAAGAGCAATGGTTGCCAGAGGTTAGGGGGGAGGGTGGGACAAATACGTAGAATACAGAGGATTTTTAGGGCAGTGAAATTACTCTGTATAACTATGGATACAGTCATTATACATCCATGCAAATCACAGAATGCACAACACCAAGAGTAAACTCTAATGTAAACTATGGACTTTGGGTGATAATGACGTGTCCATGTAGGCTCATCAATTATAATAAATGTACCCAGTTACACTTTGGGAGCTGGTGGGAGATGTTCATAACGGAAAAGGCTATGCATGTGTGGGGGCAAGGAGTATATGGGAAACCTCTGCTCCTTCTGCTCAATATTTCTGTGAAACTAAAACTGCTCTAAAAACTATATTAAAAAAAACATTTAAACTGGTCATGTTACTTCTAAACCTCAATAAAGTGCTCTTCTCAATACCAGCACAATGGAAAAATCATCTCAAATGTACTAAGACAAAAATAATTACAAAACATAAGTCACAGAAAAAACAAAACTATCTGGAGAACTCCAAAAGGCATTTATCCTAGCCATTTCTTTTTATAATTCAGAGAACAAAATATTATTTTTCTCTCTCCAAATCAATATGCCCAAAGCCTGCCTGTTCCTAAACAACTACATGCTATCACTCCATTCATCCAACAGATTATGGCTGCCATCACATCCTCCTTTTCTGTACATTTCCAAACTAGTTCCATTTTGGGAGCTAGGTAGTTTGTTTCACCCGGATGTCCTGTTTAAGTAGCTGAAGACAAACACATTACCTGTGGAAATCATACTACAGACTTTAAGTGAACAGACATGCAACATCATGTAGCCAAATGATTCTCCTCTGGAAGAGCGGCCCGAATGGTTTTAAGAGCTGTCAGATGTGGTGTTTAACACAAAGTACCTTAAGGTGATTCATGCTGACACTCTGTATCAGAGGATACATTTTCACCAATTAGCCAAAAAAGCAATCTCTTAATTTTAAACATGAAAAAACAGAATGCTTAGACCTAACAATGTGAAATACAGATTGGGCATTCAAATTTAGAGATAAAAACAAACTTTAAATATTAACAAACTAGTTATCCGTATTATTGCTCTTTAGTACTCATATTTTAGTTGAATAAAATACTTTCTTGTTAACAAATTATAATCACCAACAAATTTTGATGCACTACATCATAATAAAATTGAAAATTGAGAAGGGAATACATAATATTCCTTGCATTTTTCTTCTTCCTTTGTTGTAAGGCACCATATAGGTGAGGAAGGTTCCTGGGTGGAGCTACTCATGAACAGCAGCAATGGCAATGATAATGGCAGTGGGAAAAACGGGGGCTGGAACATGTACCTTTCTCATTCTCCATCCACAATGGAGACATGGAGAAGAGTCTTTTGGATGCACAACATGAATCAGGACAGAGTAGTTCAAGAGGCAGTTCTCACTGTGATAGCCCTTCCCCACAAGAAGATGGGCAGATTATGTTCGATGTGGAAATGCACACCACCAGGGACCATAGCTCTGTCAGAAGAAGAAGTTGTAAAAGGAGGGAAAGAAGTTGATGCTTTGAAGAAAAGTGTAGACTGTGTGTCTGACTGGTCTAGTAGACCTGAAAACATTTCACCTATGGAGTTCCACCTCAGGCACCCTAAACATTATGTTTCTTTAAGCATGAGGAAAAGTAGAGGCATGAAGAAAGGGGATATTTTCTCCGCAGAATCTCTTAAGGTGTTCATTCCATCTCTATTCCTTTCTCATGTTTTGGCTTTGGGGCTAGGCATCTATATTGAAAATGACTGAGCATACCTTCCGCCAGCACCTACTAAAGGAAAGAAAAGCCCCTTGAAAACCATGTGACCTGTGAAGCATGTGACCTTTGTACTGTCACAGTAGTTTATTTGAATTTGAGACCATTATAAGCATAACCCAACCTACTACCCTATTTTTACATATCCAAGTTCTAGTAACTCTCAAATCCAGTATTTTATTCCAACTCTAAGGCATTTTACTAACCTCATTCCCTTTTTGGCCTGTAAGACATTGTAAGAATTTCCTAACCGAGTTTACTCTTATTTAGAAATTTGCATGGGCTTCTTCACTGCAAATGCCACCAACAGATTATAATTTTGTCAACAATGCTATTGTCCCCTTTTACTACCACCAAACTTAGACCCACATTATTCATGGTATAAATTTTACTCTTGCAAGATAACTACCATCTCTCTCTTAAAACGAGATCAGGTTAGCAAATGATATAAAAGCTTTGTTGTTTTGTTTTGTTTTTCAAGATAAAGGCAAGCTTCCCTAAGCTTGAATTTATAGTTATTAAAGAGAAAACAACAAGAAGAAAACAAAGACACAAGAAAAAAAAATATCCTGGGCAATAAAAAATTATTTTAAACCAAAAATAAATACATACATACATACAAAAGAAAGAAACCATTAAGAAATAATAATAGGAATGAAAAGGGAGATACAGCTCCATACATTGCAGAGTTTAAGAGAGGATATTTGTGAGACATTTAGAAATTTGGATGATAACAGGATAGTTGATGATATGAAGAAACTATTTTGAATTTTTTTTGATGTGACAATAGGATTTTGATTAAAAATAAAAAGAGAACCTTTATTTTTTAGAGATACCCACTGAAATTTTTATAAATAAAATTATATGATGTCTGGATTTTGCTTCAAAATAATATTAAGAGTGGAAGTGATTAGGGTGTGAATAAAGCATAACTGGCAATGAGTTGATTGTTAGGGATGGGGGTTCATTATACTATCTTCTCTATTTTCATATATGTTCAAAATTCTCCAAAATAAATCGCTTTTAAAAAATTAAGTAGTATAAGAGAATTAAGAAATAAAAATCCACTATATCCTCCTCCAAAAAATAAAATAAAAGGGTATCATGAACAGCTCTATGCCAACAAATCTGAAAATTTAGGGTTAATACCCTAGAAAAAACATCAAAGCTGACAAGAAAAACCAGAAATCTTCTCTCAAAGAATACCAGGTAGGTTTTAGAGGCATGTTATAAGAAGCAAGGCATCAACAATTTGAATCTTATACAAGTTATTCCAGAGTATAGAAAAAGAGGAAACACTCTTCCCAACTTAAATTCTTTTATGAAGCCACCAGACCCTTAAAACTGAAACCAAATAAAAAAATTACAGCCCAACCTCACTCACTGAGATTGATATAACTAAATGGTGAAACAATTAAAATTACTCATTTTAATATCAGGAAAAAGACAAGGATGGCTGCTAACACCAATTCTATTAATATTGTACTGGAAATCCTGATTAGTACAATAAATTTTTTAAAAAGATAGACTCATGAAGGAAAAAAATTGTCATTATGCACAGATGATGTGATTTTTTATGTAGAAAACCCAGGGCTGGCCCCGTGGCTTAGTGGTTAAGTGTGTGTGCTCCGCTGCTGGCAGCCCGGGGTTCGGATCCCAGGCGCGCACCAACGTACCGCTTCTCTGGCCATGCTGAGGCCGCATCCCACATACAGCAACTAGAAGGATGTGCAGCTATGACATACAACTATCTACTGGGGCTCTGGGGGAAAAATAAATAAATAAAAATAAAAAAAAAAAAAAAAAGAAAACCCAAAGGAACCTAAAGATAAGTAATCAGAATACTGTAATAAGAGAGTTTAACAAATTTGCCGGATACCCAATCAATATGGAAAAGTCAGTGTGACAAAGGTACCATAGTTATGTAAGATGTTTACACTAGGGGAAAGTGGTGAAGGGTATACGATAATGCTTTATCTTTGTATCTTTTTTGTAAATCTAAAATTATTCCAAAATAATCTTATTTTAATAAATGATTTTAAAAATTAGTAAGTCTGACAATATTAAGTGTTAGGGAAGACGTAGAACAACAGAAATTCTTATATACTGTTGACAGTGTAAGTTGGAAAATCACTTTGGAAAACACTTTGGCATTATCTTGTAAATTAGAACATGTTTATACTCTTGGATCCAGAAATTTTACTCCCAAGTATATACCCAGAGACACTCTTGCACATATGTATAAGAATACTCATACAGCAATGTTTGTAACAGCAAAAAGGTGAACATGTCTACTGACAAGATTATATAAGATAAATAAATTACAAATAAATAAATTGCAATATATGTACACAATGGAATACCAAACACCAGCCAACACGTCAAGCTAGATCATGCATTCCCAATAGGGATGATTTCGAGGGTGAAAATTGGTTTGGGGAGGTGGGGGAAATCTTAGATATTAATATTACAATGGTTGTGGCCCTCCAAAGGGCCACAGTACATAAACAGACTTATATCTGTGGTATCAAAATTTCATAGGGTGGAGGGAAGGAGATGATTAGGATAAAAATGTCTAAAAAGGATCCTTAGGGGAGGGATAATGTAAAAAAGGTTGGGAAACAATGACCTAGGTGAATCTCAAGAACGTAACATTGAGTGAAAAAAGAAAGTTACAGAAGAATACATATAATATGATACTATTTACATAAAGTCCAAAACATACAAAATATATTGTCTAGGGATACATATATGTTTGTTAAACTATAGTAAAGAAAACACACAATTCAGAATAGGAGTTACCCTTGTGAAGTAGGTAGGAACATGAAGAAATCTAGAAGAGGCATATAAGGAGATTCAAAAGTATTGGCTGTGTTCTTTTCTTGGACTGGGATAGTTAATACATAGCTGTTTATTTTATTATTCCTCATCCCTTAGTTATTTATATATTTTTTATTAGTATGAAATGTTTCATAATTAGAACTACCTAAAAGAACCACTTAAAAATACCACATATCACCTTATAATAAGTAAAATCTTAGTGGCTTAACTTAAATTGTATGAATAGCCTTTCCATTGATTGTCATCCAGTCAATATTAAATAATATTAAAAATATTAAACCTATGCTGTTAAAAACAACCATAAGGGACTTAATTAAAAAAAAAAAATTAAAAAAAAAACATAGCTCATACCCAGCCACCTTGCTGAATGATGTACTCTGCTGCATAGTCCTCCAGGTATGTCACGCCAAACTGCAGCAATGTACTCAAAGGTTCTTGACCACGTCTTGTCAATTCCAAAAGCATTTGTCGTAGCAAAATCAGAGGCACCAAAATCTTCAATGCAAAGATGAGAGAGTAGAAAAACAAACTGAAATTCTTATAATTCATTTTATATGTTCAATTACTAGAAAATTATACTCAGATATACCATTAAAGAATTTCATTTTTATTGTAATAAAGAAAATAAAACACTGACCCCTACGAGAATTTTTGTGAATAATGCATGTAGGTTTTATACCATAGGATGATAGAAACAATTATTATATAAAAATAATTGGGCTCATATGTGTGTGTGTGTGTGTGTGAAACAACATATGTATAGGAAATTCACCGAAGCATTATTTATAATAGCAAAAGACAGAAAACAACCCAATAGGGACTGGTTAAATCAATTTTGGTCATCCAGTAAAATATCATTTAGTTGTTAAAAAGATTGTTCACTGCTCAATCACCAAGGAATTATTTTCAGGAAAAAAAGCAAGACACAGGAGACTGTGTACAATGATGGTACCACTTATGTAAAAACACAAAACAGAACACATACACATACATATTTGTATCATCCTATAGTATCTATGGAAAAAATATATAAGAAACTGGTAATAGTGGTAGCCTAAGAAGAGGAGAACTAGGTAACTGGCAGCAAGGGTGGGAAAATATTTTTCAATGTATTATCTTTCTGTACTTTTTGCATTTTGTACTGTGCTTTTAATACCTACTTGAAAACAAGAACTTTCAAAATTATGAGCTATCTTATAAAAGTCATAAAAAACCACAGGGGCTATTATCATTCCTAATAACCTTGTGGCTCAATATTTAAAAACCATCAAAATTTAGACAGAGACTAACTACAGACCCTTGTATTCCCCCCAAAATTGCACAATGAAAAGAACTATTCTCAGTTAACCATCTGCATGCAATCTCTTTTGCCTGAAACATCAAGAGGTCTCCACATGACTGGAAAAGGAATGCAAAAGGAAATGAAACCAATTCCAGTTCCTTGTTACTGAATGCCAAGGTAATAACTGAGGGATTATAAAATATTTCTGCAGAAGAGGACAAACGAAAACCCAATGAGTTTATATTCTTACTAATATTCTTTGGCTTTTAAGTAAAAGCATCCCTGAGGAATCTGTATCAAAGTCTGACAGAAAGAATACAACAAACATATATCTTCACTTTTTGATATTCTAAAAGAACCCCAGCCCAGAATATATTTAAAAACCCTTCGTAAACTAATGGAGGGTATGGGGGCTATAAAGAATATATTAGGCTTTCTCCACAATTAGAAAACCTGTCATACTATTAAAAACAAACACAAAAAACTGTTGTTCATCTAGCCTCAGTATTTTGTCTTAGCAGGAGTAGTAAAGGATAGCTTATAAATCAGCCTTGCTGATTCACATATCCACCTCAAAGGCCTGGGATGTTCTGTACCTCAAAACATTCTGATTTCCCATAATAATCTACTCATATGCAAGATTCTAAAGTTATTCGTGTTTAAGCTCTTAGGGAAATGAGTTGCAAACATTTTATACTTGCTATATAAAATAATACTTTTATTTGTTCCAAATTTCTCTCTCTCATGTATCAAAAAGTAGATGCCCTAGTTTTACTATATAATAATCTAGAGATAAATCTGTAATCCTCTTTCACTACTGTCTTAATTTTAGTCCTTAATCGTATTCCCTCTCATTCACTATACTTTTTAGGCCAAAATCTACTAATCTTTTAGTCCGTTCTTCATAAGGCAATTCCTCCATTGCTTTGATCATTTAAGTTCTCCTTTCCTGGATCTTCTCCACCCCAATTATATATTTCTTGAAATCGCAGTAACCAGAGTACAGAAACTTTATTTTATAGGACCAACCTCTTCTATTCGGTTGATAATACTCTTGGTGGTACATGTTACATCTATTTTACCTATTTGACATACTATCTTCAGGGACCTGTATGAAGATTTCCAGACCCACTATCTTTTAAGTATAGTTTAGATTGTCTTTATATAGTTAAATCCATTTACCCTCTTTGTGATCACACGCAAAGCTTCACGAGTTATTTCTACATCTGATCCCCATCAATTTGGCATTTTACTACCCACAAGAATGTTTTGTGTGTGTGTGTGTGTGTGAGGAAGATCAGCCCTGAGGTAACATCTGATGCCAATCCTCCTCTTTTTTTTTTGCTGAGGAAGACTGGCCCTGAGCTAATATCCGTGCCAATCTTCCTCTACTTTATATGGGACGCCACCACAGCATGGCTCAGCAAGCAGTGTGTCGGTGTGCACCCGGGATCCAAACCGGCGAAGCCCGGGCTGCCGCAGCGGAGCACGCACACTTAACCGCTTGTGCCACCGGACTGGCCCCTACCCACAAGAATTTTATATCATATTTACACCTGATATATTTTGTACTCCCCTTCCCATAGTATTAAAGAAACGTTAAAATAAAACTGGATCCCCAAGCATCCATTCCTAGAAGATCCCACTATCCACATCTCTGGGACTAAAAAGCAATCAAACAGTCTTACCCTTTGAATTCCTTGCTTTAAGTCATTTCCTTACTGGATAATAGTAATCCACACAACACATATAAATTATTTTTTTCTTCAGTAACTTTTGCAATGGAATGCTAAGGTACTTTTGACCATCAAAAAGGATGATCTCCAGGGGCTGTTTCCTCATATGTACCATGTGGCATCTTCCTCCAATAGGTTAGACTTAGCTAACAACATTATCCTCTTATTAAAGAATATATGAGCTTGCCTGGTGTAGAGACAAAGTACACCAATTTATAGCTCAGAGAGTCTCCTCCAAAAGAACAGATATCTGTGATGATAAATTACATATTTTTTGTCCATCAATCTGCTATTTAACCTTTCTATGCCTTAATAATTCTAGTAAATGTCACATGCCACAATTTTTATCTGTACCTAATTTATTATTAGGTTTAAATGTCTTTGACCTATATGAGTCAAAATAAAATTTAAGAGACGAGACCTTATGTATCAGTGATGCAACAGGAAATAGAGAACACCACCAATCAAGTATTCTTGCCAAAAAGATTAAACCTGAATATGATCAGGCCTCTAGATCTATCTACCAATGGAAAGGAAATATAGATACAGAGGAACACATTAAGTGACATCTCAATGATGCAGTCAATAAAATCCAGAAGGTAGGAAATTTTACAAGACAAATAACTTGCAAGTAAATGAGAGAAAAAGAAACAAGAGAGAGAGTGAGCCTACATATTAAAAGAGACTGAAGTCACATATTATATGATCACATTTATATGAAATGTCCAGAATAGGCAAATTCATAGAGAGAGAGTAGTGTTGGCAGAGGTTGGGAAAAGCAGGAAATGGGGAGTGACTACCACTAGGTATGGGGTTTCTTTTTGGGGAAGATAAAAATGTTCTGGAACTAGACAGTGAAGATGGCTGCACAACACTGTGAATGTACTGAAAACCACTGAATTGTATACTTTAGAATGGTAAATTTTATGGCATATGAATTACATTTCAATTTTTAAAAAAAAGAAACACTTAAGAGACATATCAACCAAATACAATGCATGAGCCTTGTTTGGATCGCGATGAAAACAAATCAGCTTAGAAAAATACCTTTATGAGACAATTGGGAAAATCTGAATACTGACTAGATGATGGGATATTAGAATTACTGTTAATATTTTGAAGTGTATCAATTTTGAATGGTATTATCAGTTGGTTAAAAAAGGGGATACATGATCCTTGGGAAATACATACTAATGTATTTATGAACAAAATGATATGATGTATAGAGTCTACTTCAATATAATCTAGAGGGAGAGTGGGAAGAGTGTGAACAAGACCAGCCACATATTGATAATATTGAAGCTTAGTGATGGATACATGGGATTTGCTATACTACTTTCTCTGCTTTTGTGTATGCTTGAAATTTTAATAATAAAAGATTTTAAAAGGTTAGTGATTTAACACGCCACTAACAGTTAACCAAGGCAAATAATTCATTTATCTTTGTTATTATTTTTCTAAAGTCTATTTATTACACTATGAACATCATGCACTAACATTCTAGCTGGCTTTTTCCCTTTGATGGTTATTTTCTTCTTTTTTTTGATAAGCAGATAAGTACATAAGAAAAAAACAATACTGAGATAACTACTATGTATTACTTAATGTTCTGGCACATATTCCAATTATTTTTCTAGGCATATACATACTATGTCGTCCCTCGCTATCTGTGAGGGATTGGTTCCAGGATTCCCCACAGATACCAAAATCTGCGATGCTCAAGTCCCTTATATAAAATGGCGTAGTATTTGCATATAACCTACACACATCCTCCCCGTATACTTTAAATCATCTCTAGATTACTTATAATACCTAATACAATGTAAATGCTATTTAAATAGTTGTCACACTGTATTATTTAGGGAATAACGACAAGAAAAAAAGATCTGTACATGTTTGGTACAGAGGCAACCATGGTAGGCCTTTCGATCTGCAGTTGGTTGATTCCATGGATGTGGAACCATGGATACAGAGGGCTGACTATATACAGTCTACATTTATACATGTACATTTTTTTTTAAAAAAAAGATCATACTATTAATACAGGTTTATGACCAGCTTTTTTCCTCCACTTCTTTTGATATATTTAAAGAGTATTCTACCAAGATGCTTTAAGATCCCTAGACAGATAAACATATTCAGTTTGCCCTAACCTGGCATGCTTTGTGGACATGTTTTTCTTTTCTCTCTGATGGGTGTTTCATTTGAGCCTCATTTACCTGCCAGAGAGCCACATTCATTTAATGTTATATCAGAATTTTGCAAACATGTATGCAAAATGTAAAATATGAGCTAACTGCTTCAAATTAGCCATCTGGTTTTGATTAGGGGGGCGTTTCAGTTGCCTATCATAAGACAGGTTCCTTTCAGGCCTACAGGACTTAGAAGGAGAGTAACAGTGGATGCAGCAGAGCAAGTAATATTCTAATTGGCATTCCTCATTTACATGAGGTATTCAAACCACAGCCTCAAAGATCAACAGTAGGCCCTTGGTCCAGATGAGGGACTAAAATGAAGCAGGGAATGGAAAAAAAGGACGGCTAAAGACTAGGGTTTACTCAGATTTTTTAGGGTAACACTAGGATCAGGTCAGAGGAGGACATACAAGATTTGATGATAACAGTTACTAGACAGGAGTGACAGGAAGAAAACATAAAATAGGGGAAGAAGGCTAGTAATACTAGGTACCTAAATATTTGTTGTTTGATATACTAAGAAATATATCATAACCAAGCTCATTTTTATTCATAAAAACTATTTCAAATTTCCATATAAGGGAGGTTTTTTTTACTCCAAGAAAGCAAATGAAACAAACAGATATTTTAACAAATTATTTATAGCTAAGTAACAGAGTAAAATTCCATAATAGTGACTATTTCGGAACAAGGTCTCATGTGTTAAATCTAATATAATAGGTGCTCTTTACTGAGTGCTTACTATGGTAAGCACTTATTTTTTTATTTTTTAGCACTTTTAGAAGATGTGCTAAAAAAGTATTTAACATGTATTATGTCATTTAATTCTAATAAAACTTATGAGGTTAGCATTATCATCTCCATTTCACGTATGTGGAAATTAAGACTGAGAGAGCTTAATTAACCTGTCCAAAGACATACATCTAGTCCATGACAAAGCTGATATCTGAAACAAGTCCGATTACAAAGCCTATGATGCTAATTATTATGCTATAATGCCTCCAAAGCCTATATTAAGGTGAGTAAAAATAATATACCTCAATTAGGTCACATGGTCTGACTCGTATTATTAACGATTCTGAGTAGAGGTGGCTATTTATAAAAATAATTCTACTGAATTTTCTCATCCCTGGCACTACATCACTAAGGGCCATACTTCTTCCTCAAATTGAGCTGAGCCATCCTATATTGCATCCCACTAGATTCTCTGCCTTTTCAGACTGTAGATAATACAGTCTGAGATAACAGATAAGCAGTATGGTATAGTAGGAAAAAAACACTGAAGCTGGAATCAGAAAATCTTAGCTCTAGTGTCGGTTCCAATATTTACTAGTCAAGGGGTCCTAGACAAGTCATCTAACTTCTTTCTCTGATTATGCACCTGACCTAACTAACTAAACAAATAACAAAACAAAAGCTAAGGGGCCGGCCTGGTGGCAGAGCGGTTAAGTTCGTGTGCTCTGCTTTGGCGGCCTGGGGTTTGCCAGTTCAGGTCCTGGGCGCAGACCTGCGCACCGCTCATCAAGCCATGCTGGGGCGGCGTCCCACACAGAGCAACTAGAAGGATGTACAACTATGACATACAACTATCTACTGGGGATTTCGGGAGAAAAAAGGAAAAAAGGAGGAAGATTGGCAACAGATGTTAGCTCAGGGCCAATCTTCCTCAAAAAACCAAAAAAAACCCCACAAAAGCTACTAAAATCCATTCTGCCTTCTGCAAACGATGGTTGTAATGATCAAACGAGATGTGACATGAGATACTTTGTAAACTATAAAACACAAATGGTATTATTCATTTAAGAGACCCAGAAGAATCGTGTCCCAAATGAAGCCGTAATTCTTTCTCCCCCCAGACACTCACGTGTTAACAAATAATCATCTGGAGACAAATGTCCTGTCTAATGCAGAGAAATGAAGAAATTATGGAAAATTCAGGACAGATAGGAAGGAAGAGTGGCATACTATGGGATGCATATTTTTGGGCCAACCAGAACCTTACAGCATTAATCAAAAAACTACTTTAATCAAAAATATCCACTTACCACAGTTGGATTTATGCATTAAATAATGAGCTCTAACAGTTTTCTCTCATATAATGCTAGCAATTACTTTTTTACTTTATCAACACATTAAAATCTTGTAAGACAAAAGATAATTTGGTTAATACCTTATTCCAGCCGCTGGCATGAACTGTGGTCTCCAGTGTACATTCCCGATATGCCTGATATGTCACTGGCCTGCAGAGATTTTTTTTAAAAGTCTGTGTCATAAAGAAGGAAAATTCTAAATTTCCAGATGAATAAATATACAGTCACTACTCTGCTGTTGAACTTTTTGCTAAAGTAACAAAGATTATTCAACATATTGTTTTGTATGAGAAGTGGCTTTTAACATTTGGTATGCATTTTCTTCTTCAAGCATTCTCTAGAGGCTGAGATGCATGCTACCAGATTGAGAAAGCAGTTAATAACATAACAAGATAATAATAAATTTTTTATAATTGTTTGAAACTTATCCAACAGGATTTCTATATTGCAGATAAATATAAACACTGGGTTATTAATATAGGATCAAGTAATAACAAAAATTACCAAATTCATAAAATTTAAAGCACAATTTAACTTTTTTAAAAGGCAAAAAATCTAAAATATCTGAAAATTAAAGAGACCTGTCAATGGAAGATTTTTCAAATTGAGGACATAAGGAGTTAGAACAAACAAGGCCAGTAAATGGAGCTCTGTTTTTAACTTGGAGTCTTATGACATAACCTCCTGGAAGCGGGAGAGAAAAGCCTTTCTGATCATTTCTGTATAAGTTCTATTCATACCCAAAACTCAAATCATTGAGTGATGACAACAACGCTCACTCATTAATTTACTGAGGGCCTTTAAGTACTGTATTCTAAGCCTTCATTTCATGCACAACTTAACAACAACAAAAATACTTGGTACCAGGTAACACATTAAGGAACCAATAGCTTGGGTAACAGATGTAATAAAGTTTACCTCCCCGCCTTTTGTGGGCAAAGTATTAACATATAGGAGTCTTTCATAGGATTTTAAAATACATTCCAAAGGCATTTTCTGCTCTGATGACTCTGGTTTGTCATCTCTTCAGCCTATGAATATTTAAGATTGATAACAGCTACCACTTATTTGTAGCCTACTGTTGGGTTTTATATTTTTATATATTTATATTTTATATTACATATTATCATTTTACATGTTAGGAAACTGAAGCTCAGAAAAGTCAAGAGACTATCCCAAATCCACATAGCTGGCAAGCAGCAATGTAGGAATTCACACCCAATTAGATCTGGCTCCAAAGGCCACACAGCTCCTATTTTAAGTTAGGATTTTGACACATGCCCTGATAATGTCTAGATGCCACATATGGCTAATGAGCATTTGAAACGTGACTAGTGATGTGCTGAAAGAACAATATACAACTAGATTTCAAAGACTTAGTATGAAAAAAAAGAATGTAAAATATCTCATTAATAACATTTTATCTTGAGTACATGTTAAAACTATAATATTTTGGGCCGGCCCCATGGCTTAGTGGTTAAGTGCGTGCGCTCCGCTGCTGGTGGCCCGGGTTCGGATCCCGGGCGCGCACCGACGCATGGCTTCTCCAGCCATGCTGAGGCCGCGTCCCACACACAGCAACTAGAAGGATGTGCAACTATGACATACAACTATCTACTGGGGCTTTGGGGGAAAAAAAAAAAAAAAAAAAAACTATACTATTTTGAATATATTGGGTAAAATCACATATTATTAAAAATCCTCATTTTTTACGTGGTTGCTAGAAAATTTTAAATTACAGCCCGGGTTCGGATCCCGGGCATGCCCCAAGGCACCACTTCTCCGTCCAACCCGAGGCCAAGTCCCACATACAGCAACTAGAAGGATGCGAACCTATGACATACAACTATCTACTGGGGCTTTGGGGGGAAAAAATGAATAAATAAAATCTTTAAATTACATATAAGTGACCTGCATTATATCTATTGTACAGTGCTACTCTAGATATTTCAGAAAACAGTTCTGATGACCCAGGAATCATTCTTTTCTATAAGTCAGTATAAAACCAACACTTCAGTGATGCTGAAAGAAGATAAGATACCAGGGATGACCTTTTTAATAAGAGCTTTTAATAAGACCTTTTTAATTTAATATGTACTACCTTCCTGATATATTCCCAAGAAAGTAAGCTTAGAATTTTTTAGAAACCTTGGGCTAAATACTAGGAAGTGGTAAAATTTGAACTTCAGCAGATACTATACAGTCTACCTACCTATATTCTCCCTGAAGCTTTACTTGTGTATGTCAGTCCCTTCCTTTCCTGAACAGTTTGATGTTGCTGTGGATCACAGTAGTCTGTATTGGTAGTTTGTCTATCAGGCTTAAAGTACTTTAGCATCCTCCAGAATGAAACATGATTTGAAACATTATATGTACACGCATATATGCACATAAAAGATCCAGCAGATTAAAACATTTAAAGAAAATCTAATACACAGAAAAGTAAGTAGCTGAAAAATCAGCCCTATCTAATCAGATGTTTGAACAGAGCAAAGAAGAAAAAGCGGGGTGGGGCAAGGGGGGATGGGGGGGCAGGGGCACCTTTGAAACTGCTGGTGCTTGGCTATGCGGAAGAGTTCAGGACTGATTTCCCACTTTAATGAAACTGTTTGGAGGAGTAGGTGGTATTTTCCACCTTAGAAGATATTGCCATCAACCTGTATACTACTTCTAGTTCATCATCAGTTAAGTTATTTTCATGGTATTAGTAACAGAGCTTAACAACTTTCAAAAGTAGATTTCTGAAAAATATTTATACATAAAGACACCCGACTTTGATATACAACCAGAAGTACCAATCTAAAAAATAATTATACCAGTATTCAGGGTTGGGGAAAAAACCAAAACAAGTAGTATTCATCCAAGACAATATTTTTAAAAATATAATTTACTTTGCAGTGAGAAGATATCAATTTTTCCCGTAGATTATGAAAAGGACTCCAAAAACAATACTTATTTTTTTAACTATACAATACTGTTCTTCAGAGAGCTTATAATATCCCAGTCAAGTTAAAATTAACAGATGGAGAAATTGAGATATAGAGCAAAATGGTTTGCTCAAAGCTACAAATAATTTGTATCAAAATTGGAAACAGATTTTTTTGCCTTATACTTCTCAGTTATTTTACTCCCAGTTCCAACAGCTTTTACAAGTTTTTTCGTTTGCTTTTGCAAAATAGGTTTTGAAACCTCAACATATAAAATTATGAAAGTATAGCTGCTCTGGTTTCAGAAGAGTGGAGAGGGGCTAACAAGCCCCACCCACTCACCCTTTCCCTCCCATCCCCTCCTAAGGGCCCCTAAAACTGAAAGCCACAGCTGTACATACAAATTTCCTATTTAAGTTTTATTTCTCAACACTCTAATCTCTCTACATTTATCTTTAAACTTTTCTATATATAAAGTTAAGAAAATCCAAATATGCTTTTCATTTTACTGTTTCCTATGTATAATTTGGATTTTTACATTTGCTCATGTCACCAGAATATGCAGAAACAAACAATTCTCCTTAAACCCCAATTGCTTCCTTCTAACAAATGGTAAAGTATATAAACTTTGCCTACATGAAAGTAAGGAATCACCTTACTACGACAGCAATTTGGCATCTGAATTTTGGCCGTTCAGTGAAGGAACAGTCTTCATCCCATTTTTAGATAGTTGTCAATCTTCATTAAAACAAATATTTTTTCTAATTCATACCAATTCCTTAATGATTCTTAGCAAAGAATTAGGGGAAGTGAATTTTAAAGAGTTACAATAAATGACTTGATTCTATTTTAATATACTTGCACTATGAGCTTCTTGCTTTTAGCTTTAAAAGTCAGAACCACAGCTAGGAGAGAAGTTCCCACTATAAGAATGTGGTGGGGCTGGCCCAGAGGCGCAAGCAGTTAAGTGCGCACGCTCTGCTGCGGTGGCCCGGGGTTCACCGGTTCGGATCCCGGGTGCGCACCGATGCACTGCTTGGCAAGCCATGCTGCGGCGGCGTCCCATATAAAGTGGAGGAAGATGCGCACAAATGTTAGCCCAGGGCCGTCTTCCTCAGCAAAAAAAAAGAGGAGGATTGGCAGATGTTAGCACAGGGCTGATCTCCTCACAAAAAAAAAAAATGTGGCAGCAGTTCCACAGACAGAAGTGTGAGCAACATCTGGGATATCTGAAATTCTGATATAATGTTAATCCCACATTGCAAGGCATAAAATCCTAGCCAATATATTTATGTTGGCCACTAGAGAGAATGGCAGTAAAAAGTGGTCAGGACAAGTGAAACAGCTTTTATTTACAACTCAGTGAAAGCATCTGTTGAAACCTGACAGCTCAACAAGTAAATACAAATGATCAAATTCATGTTGGAACAGTTAAACCACTGCTTTGATGTAAAAGTTGTCGCTCAAAACTCAGAGATGCTTGGGAAAGCAAAAGAAGGAAAATGAAGAAAAGTAAGTGAGAAAAGAAGTGACACCGTTCACTTAAACACAGCCTTAACCAACCCAGTGGTGCATAAGCGATCAAGAGACTACTGAGAGAACCACGTTCCCATTCAGCAATAGTAACTCACTGGCTGAGGAGCATTTGCAACGCCTTCTGTAGAGGCTCTTTCAGGTCCTGTGACACTTTCTCTCCAAGCTGAGCCAAGCAGTCTTCTACTGAGCTTTCTGGGTTAGCAGGGCTGAATACAGGAGAAGTATGACGGTCAAAGCCTGTGCTGGTAAAGGCTGAAGACAGGGCAAAAGAAAAGCCTAATTTAATAAACAATATCAAAAGTTGTACTACAAAAACTCAGAGGATTAAGATACTTACTGGGAACAAGCTAATAGTTATAAGCCACTTAAAAAGGTCAGATAATCATTATGGGATATTAATCTTTCCTGGAACACAAAATCTGATAGGTCCTAAACTTTGAGATTTTTTTTTTAAAGGAAGGATGTTTATGGAAAATCTTAGTTTCAAGAGAAGAAAAAGACTAAACTGACATTTTAAAATATACAAACCAATTTAGTGTATTACTACAAACAAATTTAGTATAAGAATGATAAATGAGAGACAACTCCTAGTTCTATCATCCCTCTGTTAATAGTTTGCCACCTTTATAAATGTGGCACTTTTTCTATTTTATTTTTTATTGGAGTCACATTGGTTTGTAACATTGTATAAATTTCAGGCGCATATCATTATTCTTCTATTTCTGCATAGATTACGTTGTGTTCACCACCCAAAGCCTAATTACAGTCCATCACCACACACATGTGCCTTGTCATCCCCTTCTCCCTCCTCCCTCCCCTCCTCCCCTCTGGTAACCACCAATCCAATCTCTGTCTCTATGTGTTTGTTTGTTGCTGTTTTTGTCTTCTACTTATGGGTGAGATCATACGGTATTTGACCTTCTCCCTCTGACTTATTTCACTTAGCATAAAACCCTCAGGTTCCATCCATGTTGTCACAAATGGCTGGATTTCACTGTTTCTTATGGCTGAGTAGTATTCCAGTGTGTATATATACCACATCTTCTTTATCCATTCGTCCCTGATGGGCACTTAGGTTGCTTCCAAGTCTTGGCTATTGTGAAAAATGCTGCAATGAACACAGGGGTGCATGTATCTTTACACATTGGTGTTTGCATGTTCTTTGGATAAATACCCAGCAGTGGAATAGCTGGATCGTATGGTAGTTCTATCTTTAATTTTTTGAGGAATCTCCATACTGTTTTCCATAGTGGCTGCACCAGTTTGCACTCCCATCAGCAGTGTATGAGAGTTCTCTTCTCTCTAAATGTGGCACTTCTTAAACCAGATGCTAATCAGTTTATTCCACCTTAGAGGATGAAGAGATTACTTTTATACCCTTTTAAAAATGAATTTTCAAAGTCAATATTCCTGTACACGAATAAATTTTAAAACTATGAAGGTTATACAAGTTGTACATGGAAATAGTCATAGCCTACCCCTCCTCAGCTGAAATCTCCAGCATCTGACCTGCTTCCTTACTCCATGTTATATAGACTTAGCCATCCTCTAACTGTAGGAAGAATAGGTAGAATCATTGTTGCTTCAGGGTGCAAATGGATGCAGGGCACAGAATCCCAGTAGCACAAGCAGCTTGTATCCACTCCCAAGAGTTATCAAAAACTTCCATAAAGTATTCATTGCATTAATCTAAGGCTTGCTCCTAGAAGGCTGCAAATTTTACTACAGACTTAAGCATATATTTCTTTATAAAAGTGCTTGCATCCAAGAAAGATGCAAATGGCTGCAAAGCTCACAAATATTTTGTTGTTCATTTTAGTGATTAGTCTCAGATAATATGGGGGTGCAATAAGTGAGAGCATGTAAGCTTTTGTTGCGTTTTTTCCTTTTCTGCCTTTTGCTCATTTTACTAACTATAAGTACTTTTATCAGAAATGGACAAAGACTTGGAGTGATGTCAGCATCATGGAGGAGTGAGCTGTTCCTTTAGTCTCTTATTCCTAAGTTACAACAAAACAGACATTCATTAACCAACACAGGATTCGCTACAATTCAAAGCAGGACGTCTGAGAGATCCACGCAGCCATACATCTGAAGGTGAGGGTACTGGATCCCCAGGAAGCAGTGGAAGGAGGTGAGAGGATCCCCTACCCTCCCCAGCAGCAGTAATCTAGGTCACAGGTCCTCACACAGCAGCCAGCACAAGACTGTAGGAGGAGGCGGGGGAGCAGGCAGGCCCTCATGTGAACACTTTCGCTTTGAGAGTGCAGTCCGGCCCACGGGAATGCTCCATGTGAGTAGCGCAACTCAGCTACCGTGTGGGCAGCCCCACTAAGCGCAGTAGCCCAGGCGAACTGCCTGTGAGCGCAGAGAGGGCCCACATGTGCAAAAGAAAGTGCCTCTCTCCCCTCCTCTCCCACCTAGCACACCAGTCTGGTCAGTCCCTGGAGATGGGAGCAGTTCCACACCAGAGCACCTGCGTGTACACGTGTGACCCGCCAAGTGGCTGAGGCCAGCAGGCAAACACAGACAAGCCCTACTGGCACAACATCCAGCAGACGTGGTGGGTTAAGAAAACACAGCTCCTGCCCACCCCCAACAGAGGTGGCAGGTAGAATCTGTGACCTGATACTACCACTATGCACCAGCAAAGGATTACTTCATCAAGCACCATGAAGAACTACATTAACACTCCAAAGTAGAGGGAAAATGACAAGTCTCCAGAAACCAATCCTGAACTCACAGAAATTTACAATCTAAATGACAGAGAATTAAAAATAGCTGTCATAAAGAAACTCAACGAGTTACCAGAAAACTTAGAAAGACGGTTCAGTGAACTCAGGAATAAAATTAACGAGCAGAAGTAATTCTTCACCAAAGAGATTGAAACTCTAAAAAAAAAAAAAAGCAAAGAGAAATTCTGGAGATGAAGAACACAATAAATGAGATAAAAAAACAATCTAGAAACCCTAAAATACAGAGCTGACGTCATGGAGGACAGAATTAGCAATTTAGAGGACAGAAATATAGAAATGCTTCAGGTGGAGGAGGAGAGAGAACTAACACTTAAAAAAAATGAAGAAACTCTTTGAGAAATATCCAACTCAATTAGGAAATGGAACATAAGGATGATAGGTATTCCAGAGGGAGAAGAAAAGGAGAAAGGAGCAAAGAGCTTGTTCAAAGAAATAATAGCTGAGAACTTCACAAACCTGGGGAAGGAACTGGACTTATAAGTATATGAAGCCAAAAGAACTCCTAATTACGTCAATGTAAAAAGACCTTCTCCAAGGCATAAAATAGCAAAACTAGCAAAAGTCAATGCCAAAAAAAAAATATGAAGGGCAGCAAGGCAGAAGAGAATAATCTACAAAAGAACCCCTAGCAGGCTTTCAGTGGATTTCTCAGCAGAAATCTTACAGGCTAGGAGAGATTGGAATGATATATTCAAAATACTGAAAGATAAAAATTTTCAGCCAAAATACTCTATCCAATGAAACTATCCTTCGGATATGATGGAGAAATAAAAGCTTTCCCAGATAAAAAAAAATGCTGAGGGAGTTCATCCCCACTAGACCTCCCTTACAAGAAATGATCAAGGATGCCCTCATATCTGAAACAAAAACGCAAAGGTTTACAAAGCTTTGAGTAAGGAGATAAATAGACAGACAAAATCAGAAAATTGCAGCTCTCTATGAGAACAGGTTAGCAAACAATTATAACATAAAAGATAAAGGGATGGATGGATTAAAAGTGGCTGGATGGATTAAAAAATAAGACCCAACAATATGTTGCCTCCAGGAAACACATCTCAGCTCTAAAGACAAACAGGCTCAGAGTGAAGGGACGGAAGACAATACTCTAAGAAAATGTCAAGCAAAAGAAAGCAGGAGTTGCCACACTTATATTAGCCAAAGCGGACTTCAAGATAAAAAAGGTTAGTGAGAGACAAAGAGGGGCAGTATATAACAATATAAGGGACATTCCACCAAGAGGACACAACATTTATGAATATATGGACCTAACACAGGAGCACCAAAGAATATAAAGCAACTATTAACAGATCTAAAGGAAGAACTTAACAGCACCACAGTAACAGTAGGGGACCTCAACACCCCACTTACATCAACGGATAGATCATCCAGACAGCAAGTCAATAAGGAAATAGTGGACTTAAAAGAAAACCTAGACCAGATGGACTTAGATATATATAGAACATTCCATCCAAAAACAGCAGAACACACATTCTTCTCAAGTGCACATGGAACATTCTCAAAGATAGACCATATGTTGGGAAACAAGGCAAGCATCAATAAATTTAAGAAGACTGAAATATCAAGTATCTTTTCCAACCACAACTCTATGAAAGAAATCAAGCACAAGAAAAAAGCTGGGAAAGTCATAAATATGTGGAGACTAAACAATATGCTACAGAACAACCACTGGATCGATGAGGAAATCAAAGGGGAAATCAAAAACTACCTGGACTACAGAAAACAGTATAGAGACTCCTCAAAAATTAAGAATGGAACTAGCATACGATCCAGCTATTCCACTGCCGGGTATTTATCCAAAGAAGATGAAAACACTATACACGTAAAGATACATGCACCCCTGTGTTCATTGCAGCATCATTCACAACAGCCAAGACTTGGAAGCAACCTAAGTGCCCATCAAGGGACAAATGGATAAAGAAGATGTAGTATATATACACAATGGAATACTACTCAGCCATAAGAAACGATGAAATCCAGCCATTTGTGACAACGTGGATGGAACCTGAGGGTATTATGCTAAGCGAAATAAGTCAGAAGGAGAAGGTCAAATATCGTATGATCTCACTCATAAGTAGAAGACAAAAACAACAACAAATAATCACAGAGAGACAGAGATTGGATTGGTGGTTATCAGAGGGGAAGGCAGGAGGGAAGAGGGTGAAAGAAATGACTAGGCACATGTGTGTGGTGATGGACTGTAATTAGTCTCTGGGTGGTAAACATGATGTAATCTATACAGAAATCGAAATATAATGATGTACACCTGAAATTTATATAATCTTATAAACCAATGTTACCGCAATGAAAAAAAACCACAAAAAACGACCATAAAAAAAAAATACCTGGAGACAAATGAAAATGAAAATACATCATACCAACTCCTACGGGATGCAGCAAAAGCAGTGCTAAGAGGGAAATTTACAGCCATACAGGCCCACCTCAACAAACAAGAAAAATCTCAAAGAAGTAAGCTTAAACTACACCTAACAGAACTAGAAAAAGAAGAACAAACAAAGCCCAAAGTCAGCAGAAGGAGGGAAATAATAAAGATTAGAGCAGAAATAAATGAAATAGAGACTAAAAAAACAATAGAAATGATCAATGAAACTAAGAGCTGGTTCTTTGAGAAGACAAACAAAATTGACAAACCCTTAGCCAGACTCACTAAGAAAAAAAGAGAGAAGGCTCAAATTTAGAAACAAAAGAGGAGAAATGACAATGGATACTGCAGAAATACAGAGGATTATAAGAGAATACTATGAAAAACTATATGCCCACAAACTGGATAACCTAGAAGAAATGGATAAATTCTTAAGACTCATACAACCTCCCAAAACTGAATCAAGAAGAAATAGAGAATCTGAAGAGACCAATTACAAGTAAAGAGATGAAAACAGTAATCAAAAACCTCCCCCAAAACAAGAGTCCAGGACCAGATGCCTTCTCTAGAGAATGCTACCAAACATTCAAAGGAGATTTAATACCTATCTTTCTCAAATTACTCCAAAAAAATTGAAGACGGAACACTTCCTAACTCATTCTATGAGGCCAACATCGTCCTGATGCCTAAACCAGGCAAGGACAACACAAAGAAGGAAAATTACAGGCCAATGTTGCTAATGAACATAGATGCAAAAATCCTCAACAAAATATTGGCAAAATGAATACAGCAGTACATTAAACGGATCGCACACCATGATCAAGTGGGATTTATACTAGGGATGCAAGGATGGTTCAACATCCACAAATCAATCAATGTGATACACCACATTAACAAAATGAGGAATAAAAATCACATGACCATCTCAATAGATGCAGAGAAAGCATTTGACAAGATCCAACATCCATTTACGATAAAAACTCTCAAAATTGGTATAGAAGGAAAGTACTTCAACATAATAAAGGCCATATATGACACACCCACAGCCAACATCACACTTAATGGTGAAAAACTAAAAGCCATCCCTCTAAGAACAGGAACAAGACAAGGGTACCCACTCTCACCATTCCTATTCAACACAGTACTGCAGGTTTTGGCCAGAGCAATTAGGTAAGAAAAAGAAATAAAAGGAATCCACATTGGAAAGGAAGAAATTAAACTCACTGTTTGTAGATGACATGATTTAGAAAACCCTAAAGAATCCATCGGAAAACTATTACAAATAATCAACAACTACAGCAAAGTTGCACAGTACAAACTCAAATTACAAAAATCAGTTGCATTTCTATACATTAATAACAAACTAGCAGAAAGAGAAGAATACAATCCCATTTACAATCACAACAAAAAGAATAAAATATCTAGGAATAAATTTAACTAAGGAGGTGAAAGACCTATACACTGAAAAGCATAACACATTATTGAGAGAAATCGAAGAAGATATAAAGAAATGCAAAGATATTCCATGCTCATGGATTAGAAGAATAAACATAGTTAAAGTGTCCATATTACCTAAAGCAATCTACAGATTCAATGCAATGCCAATCAGAATCCCAATGACATTTTTCATGGAAATAGAACAAAGAATCCTAAAATTTATATGGAATAACAAAAGACCCCGAATAGCGAAAGCAATCCCGAGAAAAAAGAACAAAGCTAGAGGCATTACAATCCCTGACTTCAAAATATACTACACAAAGCTACAGTAATCAAAACAGCATGGCACTGGCACAAAAACAGACACACAGATCAATGGAACAGAACTGAAAGCCCAGAAATAAAACCACACATCTATGGACAGCTAATCTTCAGCAAAGGAGCCAAGAACATACAACGGAGAAAGGAAAGTCTCTTCAATAAATGGTGCTGGGAAAACTGGACAGCCACATGCAAAAGAATGAAAGTAGACCATTATCTTACCCTGTACACAAAAATTAACTCAAAATGGATTAAAGACTTGCATGTAAGATCTGAAACCATAAAACTTCTAAAAGAAAATATAGGCAGTACACTATCTGACATTGGTCTTAGCAGCATCTTTTCAAATACCATATCTACTCAGGCATGGGAAACAAAAGAAAAAATAAACAAATGGGACTACATCAGACTAAGGAGCTTCTGCAAGGCAAAAGAAACCAGGAACTAAACGAAAAGACAACCCATCAACAGGGAGAAAATATTTGCACATCATATATCCAACAAGGGGTTAATTTCCAAAATATATGAAGAATTCATACAACTCAACAACTAAAAAACAAAGAAACCGATCAAAAAATGGGCAGAGGATATGAACAGACATTTTTCCAAAGAAGACATACAGATGGCCAACAGGCACATGAAAAGATGTT